CCATTGGTGAAATTTAGAAGATGCAAGAATATTCTAAAAATCGGTGGAGCAAAATAATTTTCAATTTTATTGGTTCTTCTTTTGGTATTGTTACTAATGGGTGATAATGTTTTCTTTGCAGGTTTTTTGATACTAAGGTGGAGGTTTGTTGGGCAAATTATTATCAAACGACCTTCCGAACAATGATGTTACACCCGTAAAATTTATTCCGTCAGCATCAATTAAATAACTGAACAAAAGTTGACACCTCATTGAAACGACCTGACCCTAAAATTATTTGGACTATTGGAAGTAACCTAATTTAATCAGTGTTGTTCATGACCCGTTTCCCGCTTATTTGGATGGCTTCTAAATGTTGACTTACTTAGTGATACACTTTGCCCATTTATCTATCCTATTGGGCTAGGCCTATCACTGTTCCCTAATGTGAACTATTTATATTGCTACCTTCCTTGGTTACTTGTATGCGTGTAATTGCTCCTTCTACCTTCGAGAGAGAAATTACTGCTCCTTTATTTGTGAGTGCATCCACTGTTTTTCTTCCACTTCCCTGCTCTCTTGGCCGACTTCATACTTTGATTACACCTTCATTTGTGCATCCTTTGTGGGTATGACAAAGCAATCATAAGTGTGGAATAGTTAAGAGGATTTGGGTAGTTCTTCATTGAGGTGTTGATTGATTGGAGAAATTGAGCCTAGGAAAACTCCTTGGTGATCTTCTTTTCCGCTTTACATACTCGTGCCCTACACACGTCGATTCGTTCAAAGAAAAGGGCAACCTGTATGAAGCAACGGTTAAGGGTCACCTCATCCATTGGTGACCACAGAAGCATCAGTGTGCCTATTATCAAGGCAACTGTCCGATCTCTTATTCTACTTTAACTGTCGCAAGACAATGTTCAAGAATATAGCACCAACCCCATTTGTGTGCCATTAGATGAGGCAAAGATTTAGCTAAGGGCGGTGGCAATGCTCACGGAGCCTACAATCATGAGAACAAATGATAGATCTAGTCTTTTCAAACACGACAATGAGAGTTAAATATATTTTCGTAATGCTTATTATGGCGACAATATGTGTAATACCCAAAAATACGTACAATATATTATGAGACATAAATGTAAGTTTTGAGATTTTAGAATAACTTAACAACTTTACCATTTTCTAGGGA